TATATTTAATAAATAAATAATTGAGTTAATGGAAGAATCAATAGATGAACAGTTCCAGGTGAAAATGAAAATGCGGAGCCTAGAGAGGAGGGGCCTGGGCTGGGTGGGGTGAAGGAGACCCAGCCCAGATATTCACCCCTTCGTGCTCCTGAGATTCAGGAGCCCCTGACACCAACCCCTCTTCCATGGACCCTGGGTCCCCAGCTGTTGAAAATGTGGAATCTCAGTTGTAGGGGAATAAGCTCATGGTCTTGAGTTTCAGGCTGAACACGGAACACCCAGCTCTTAGTTCTTTCTGAATTGGGACCATTAGTGCCCTCACCCTCAGTTCTTGGGCACAGGTAACTCTTATCAAGGTGACTGAGAGCAGGTGCTGAGTTCAGACATCACAGGGACCCTGATGTCACGGAGAGGTGGGAACCAGGGTAGACACCAGATCCCTGGAGATTTGGGTTCTGCCCTGACCTTTCTGACATTTATATCCACATTTTCCAGCCTCCAAACCCCAAGACTACACAGTGGAGAATCTCATCCGGATGGGCATGGCTGGTTTGGTCCTGGTGGTCCTTGGGGTGCTGCTATTTCAGGCTCGAAACAACACCAGAAGGACCCACGATGCAGCCAGCATGTGAACACAGAGGCAACAGTGAACCGTTCAGAGTGGGGGAGCCTTGGAGCCCATCTGATGATCCCAGGAGGTGCTGAAAGAGAGTGCGGACCATAGTTGGGGAAACTGTCTTTGGAGAATGTCCAGGGGAGGAGATGTGAGAGACACGTTTTGGGTGCTGGAGAACATGGGTCATGTCCCTGTAGAGGACTCCTCATCCATCTACGAGGGTGCTCTCCCTCCCTCCCTGACCTCGCTCACTCTCCTCCACTGCCCTTCTATTCTCACCCAGTGACGTGAGGGTCTATCCCACATGGCTGGTTTGGATTCACATCTATGCACCCCTTCATGCTGGGCCACATCCGTCCCAACAAAATGTGGTATCTTCATAACCTTGGGATTATTTATTTTATATCATTTTTGCTGTCTTAACTATGTTTTTATTGATTTTAGAGAGAGACGTAAGGAGAGGGATAGACAATGGAAACATTGAGGGGGAAAAAAATCAGCTGCCTCCTGCACGCCCCCTTTTGAGGATGGAGCCCAACATGCAGGCATGTGCCCTGACCTGGATTTGAGCCAGTGACCTCCTGACTCATAGGTGTCAACCGCTGAGCCACACTGGCTAGGCTGTGGGATTACTTTTAAACCAAGAAGTACTTAGGGGGAAAAAAAAGTCCTGAGACCTGCTCCACATGGTCTACCGGCCAGCCCATTGCACATCTCCACCCTCCTACCACCTCCATGAAGCTTGTTCTTTGTATCCTTACCAGGAACCTTCTGATCACCTAGGTTCCAGGTGGTTCTGAATGCTGGTTGCTCTGTAGTTTAGTTGTGATTTCACTGTGGACATGGGAGGATTTGAGTACTTCCTCTACTTCTTCTGCTATCTTGAGCACAAGTTGTAATATATTGATAATAAATAAGTAATTTTAAATTGTTGCCATCATTTATTTAAGTAATGCATAAGGTTCCTTTTAAGTAGCTTTTTAAATATTTTCCAGACCAGTTTTAAATTGATTCAGATTTGTTTGTTTCATAAATTTACATCAATCGGTTTGGAGGTCACAGGCATTTCCTATGGAATAGTTACCACCATTGTTAATATTGGTAAACGGGTCTGTGGGCAAATCATTAGCTGCAACAACAACCATTCCACCAGGAGCGATAGGGTCACTGTGCCTCAGTGTTTCTACCAAAGGGTCACTGATGATGCCAGCTGCACTGAAAGGCTCAACAACAGACGTGGCCACAGCCTCAGGAGAGGATCACCTGAGAAAGCTGTCTGATGTACATGGATCCGAACCCTTGAAGGATCGCCTCCAAATAGACCAATTTCCCCAACAGGATCGGCCTTGAAAGGATCACTGCCAACAAAAATGTAAAACTGGAAAAAAATCCAAGTCTGTATCTGCACCTGGATCTGCCAGGGACCTGGATGCTACAGTCGCTGGGTCTTCCTCATTGGAGTGTCCATCACTGTAGGATGCAGGACAAACTTGTTCTTGGCAGCTGCATTGCCAGTCCCTTCTCAGGAGCCACCGCTCCCCACACCGGCCTTCCCCACACTGATGTCTGTGTCCCTGAGCTGTGCATATATGCATATACGTCGCCCGGTTAATTTCTCCTCACCAACCCAGCCCCCTCCTCCCTCCCTGGAGATTCCAGTCTGTTCCATGCTCTATGTCTGTGGATCCGTTTTATTCTTCAGTTTATATTGTTCCTCAGAATCCACACACAAGTGAGATCATGTGATACTTACCTTTCTCTGACCGGCTCATTTCACTCAGCATAGTACACTCCAGGTCCCTCCATGCTGCCTCAAAGGGTAAGCAATCCTTCTTTTTCTACAGCTGCATTGCATTCCAGCATTTTTACCCACTCAGCTACTGATGGACCCTCGGGCTGTTTCCAGATCTTAGCTATTGTGAATTGGGCTTCTATGGACATGGGAGTGTATATGTTCTTTCTAGTTGCTGTTTCAGGGTTCTTATGAAAGATTCAACAGAATCTGAGTACTCTGGATGAGTCATTTATTTGAGGAAACTCCACACCTTTTTCAATAATGGCTTCACCAGTCTGCATTCCCACCAGCAGTGCACAAGGGTTCCTTTTCTCCACATCCTCACCAACAATTGTCATTTGTTGATTTGTTGGTGACAGCCATTCTGACAGGTAAGATGATACGTCATAGTTTTTTTATTTTCTGTCTCTCTGGTGATCAGTAATTGCACCAATTTCATTGATGACTATGGATTTCCAGCCCTTTCCTTTCCATTCCACATCCATTTCCATTGAACTGATTTCCTGCTATGAAGCAAAGAGGAGCCAATGAGAAGGTCCAAGGTTGCCCTGGCCTGGCTCCATACTGTCCCCCAATCCTGCTGTTCCTTGCTGTAGGCCATTCCTCTCTTCCCTACATTGGCCAGCTCTTCCTCAGAGGTGGAGGTCTGCAACTCTTGACTAGTTCCTTCAGCTTCCAGGGGTGTGACCAGCTGGGCCTACTCAACACATTAGGCTGACTTCCCTGAGTTGCTCCTGGATTAGGGCTTCCTGCTCATCCAGCCCATTAAGGAGACCCTGTGCTTGCTGTGTCTGGGCCTGTACTTTTTGCAGATTAGCATTTGCCCTTTGAAGACCCTGGCCCACACTGTTCTCTGATGAAGAGGACATCTGTCGCCCAGCTTGAGAGCCCCAGTTGGTTGAACATTAGGCTGTGCACCGAAAGGTTACTGGTTCAATTCCAGATCAGGACCACACCTGGGTTGTGGGTTCAATCCCTGGTCAGGGTACGTGCAGAAGGCAACTGATCAATGCTTCCCTTTCACATCCATGTTTCTCTGTCTCCCTCTCTCTAATTATCCTCGGGTGAGAATTTTTTTTAGAGTACCTTCTTTCTCCTTAAGGTCCTGTTGCACATTATTCATTCCCTCTTTAGGTCAATGGTGTCATTGTTAAGAGCATCTAGCTCCTTAATAGCAGAGAAATCTGTAGCAGGACTTGATCCTATGATGCTCTTTGGTAAATGGGCCCTGTCTGGTGGTGGGAGAATCTAAGGAGTAAAAATGTGAGGAGGATCAATGCCCTTTATTAACTTCTGATTGACTGAGTTAAAAGCCAAGGCAAACATATCTTTTGAAAGCTTCCCACAGGGTCACAAAACACCCAAAGGTAGGTTAGTCAGGTAGAAGCTAGCCCTGTGTCCAGGAAGATCTCACAACTTCTAATCCAGACAGAAACTCACCATGTCCTTATCAGTTTCCAGGAAGATGCCATCCTCTTTAGCTTTTTCTGCAGGGGATACAGCCCACGTTTTCCTCTTAGCAAGTGGCACAATGCTGGAGGCCAGGAAATGGGCACAGGTGCTTGCTCCAATGTGCCCTTTACCAAGCACATGGCACCTGCAGACTCATCTCTGTGAGCATCACACCAGAGCCAACACCACTCAGCTCCCAAAGGCTTCCAAGGGCAGCCACAGGCAGCTTAGAGGTGAGCGACACTGGTTTCCCTTTATCACAGACAGAAATCCACAACCAGGCTTAAAATGATCAAACATAGCACATGTCTGGCCTGGTCTTCAGATTTCACAGCCCAGGGGACACCGTTGCAGAGGTCCCGCTGTCCAGCAAGGCACTATGGGTGTGGTGAAGTCTTGGTGGAGAAATAGCCAGGTTCAAGCTCCTCAGTTACACCTGCAATGCATTCTGGGTACATGCACAAGGCACAGACCAATGAACAATTCCCATTGGCTCAAGACAACTTTGCCTTCTGGGTCAGCTAAATCCCAAACCTTTCCCAGTGTCAGGTCTGGGAGTCTGATATGTTCAGGAAAGCAGCAGCATCAGCAGCCAATACCCTCAGGTATGGCCCACACCACCTTGTCTATAACATTTTTCACATGAAGAGGTCCCACTTGATAACTGTATCAGAGAGAGCTGGGCAGGCACAGGCATGGTGCCCCCATCCTGCAGGGGAGGGAAGGAACGACAGGCAGGCAGGGGCGAGGCGGGAAGGAAGGGAAGGTGCAGGAGAGGCAAGCCCTTCCCTCCCCTTACCCCCTGGGATTTCCTTTCACATCCATTCCTATTGGACCCTCCCCTCCCGACATGCCTGCTTCTCCATAGAGTCCCTCCCAGGGCTGTCCTGATGTTCAGGACGCAAAGAGGTGGAGAGTGGCATCTGCCCTGCCTTTGGCATCCTCTCCCCATATGTTAGCATCTGACTGTGATGTGCCCAGCAGAGCCCACGCCAAAGGTGAGCCTCACACTCACACCTGGGCTGACGCCCACGCCTGGCTAGAATGGATTGAATCCATTTCAATCACAAAGACAGGGGGTGTGTCTCAGTGCTGACCATGGGCTGGATCTCTGGGAAGAGAGATCCCAGTGCCCGTATCCAAAGCATGTGGAGGGGCAGCCCTGCTCCAACTTTCACCCTGAGTCCATTCCCCTCCCTGTGTGTGTCCATCCTGGGTCCCTCTCTTGTCATCACAGAGGTGGGAAGCTCCACACTGATGACTTCTGGCTGCACCCAGGCACAGTAGCCACTCAAGGTTGGCCCCATTGTCTATTCTCCTTCCCTCTCCATCTGGGGAACTTCCACTTCCCTTTTGGGCACTGAGGATGGCCACATGTTTCAGAAACAGTGTGCATAGCCTTTCCAGCATCAGGAGCAGATGGGGATTTGTACATGAGTATAGCAATCATCCTATTCCTGCGGAGTTCTGAACAACACTGCTCATGACTCACCTCACAGGGCTTAGTCAAGTGTGGGAATAAACCAGGATGGCTCCCTCCAGGTCCCTGGGCAGGAACCACTCTAAGGAGTTGGGTTCTTGACAACATGCTGCATGAGAGGAAACTGAGATTCAAGAGATTGTACGTTGAGGGTGAAGGTCAAATACCTAATGGACAAGGGAGGATTATTTAAATAAGAATCAGCCCAGCCAGCATGGCTCAGGGATTGCCTATCATTCTATGAACCAGGAGGTTGAGGTTTGATTCTCCGTGAGGGCACCGGGCTCAGTCCCTCATGTGTGGCATGCAGGAAGCAGCCGGTCAGTTGTTCTATGTGTAATCATGGATGTTTATATCTCTGCCTTTACCTTCCTCTCTGTAATCAATAAAAATATATATTGAAAATAAAAATAAATAAGAATTCGATTTGCCGAAACTGGTTTGGCTCAGTGAATAGAGCGTTGGCCTGCGGACTGAAAGGTCCCAGGTTCGATTCCGGTCAAGGGCATGTACCTGGGGTGCGGGCACATCCCCAGTAGGAGATGTG